CAGAGTTATGACCCTGGAAAAAGTTCAAAGAGCATTAATTCCAAAATTAGGCAAGGCAGAGTAACTGTTCTTTGCACTGCACTTCTAATCAAGCGATCAATCAACCTACAAAAGTTCTTGTTGATAACTCTTATGGTTTCCGAGTGATGTCCCTGACAAAGTTCAAAATGTAAAATGAACAAAGGGCAATAACTACAAAAGGGGAGTTCAAGTTCTTGTGCGCTGCACATCTTCCCATTAAGATCTATCTACCTACAAAGTTTCATGTTGATATCTCTTATAGTTTTAGAGTTATGTTATGTCCCGGACAAGATTTTTCTAAAAGTGGAGATAATTCAAAAATAAGGCTTAATGCCCCGGTCACATATTCACGGAAAATGCCACGGAAGAGCTACGGTCTAATCGTTCACGGATTACTACGGAAATGTGAAATTCCGTAGTCCGCTACGGTTCCAGTACGGACAAACAACAGTATGAGTACGGAGTCCGACGTATTTACCACCAAAAGCCCCCGGAGAGACACGGATTGTTACGGACCGACACGGTTTGATACGGAGCGACACGAATCAGGACGGACGCACTACGGATACACTACGGTCTGCTACGGTATAAGCACGGGTTAGTACGAATAAGTACGGTCTGATACGGAGAAGAACGAATTGATACGGAGAAGAACGAATTGCCACGGATCTATACGGACCTAATACATCCGTCCACATTCTCTTGCATGCTCATTTTCAAAATGCCTCACAAGAAAAGAACATCTAGAAAACGAATTGCAGAGTTCAATGATTTTGGTGGAGAGGTTTCGGCCTAATCGCGTCCGACCCCTGAGACACATCAGGTCCGATTAAAGTGAAATTCTGAAGGACGCTGGATCCTTAACAAGTTCGGACATGAGAACCTCATACTAAACATGAAGCGGTCGTTGTAAAAGCCCATCTCTAGTCCACCATCTCATGTGTCTTCTCTTACCTGATTAGATATGGACTAGTAATCATTAATGAAAAATGTTGATCAATACTGCTTCTCTTTTAATTCATTTTACAATAACATTAATTATCGTGAATGTTTATGTTTTAAAAATATGTAAAAAGCTTGTTAATTAATCTAATTATCACTCAAGGGCCAGCGTCCGAGGCTTATGAGACACTTATATGTACATATTTACTCCAATTTCACGATCCAATGTTTGTAAAATATGTAACATTAAATGTTATTCTATTACTTATGAATTCTAGTACGATATTGATATATTTTGACCTCTATGCATGTCATCAAGCAGCTCGACCACTGCCTCAGCATTCTGGTCCTTTTAATTATAAAGTTGCAACCAGTAAATGGCAATTATCAGTTATTGATTGTTCTCGCAAACCTGTCTGTTTTTAACAAGAAGGTAGTATTTATACCCTTGAAAAAGTACATGATACAACCGAGTCTGCAATTCTCTTGTAATTTTGTTGTAATTAATGCTTCCGAGGGATCACTTTGTTACCAGATTTTTAATTCATCCGTACTAAACAGTGGTGGACTGTACCATTCCGTACCATTTCGTGTTGAAACGCAATAAACCGTATAAGACCGTGCTAATCCCTGTCTCTCCGTAGTACAACGTATTACGATCGTGGCTTTCCGTGACAATGCCGTATTAATCCGTATTAAAACCGTAGCTTATACGTAGGGTAACCGTACAAATACGTAGTTCTCCGTACCAAACCGTGGAAATCCTTGGACTACGAATCAGTACGGACTAGTACGGTTTTCGTACGGACCAGTACGTATCAGTACGGTTTAATACGGACTAGTAGGGATACGCTACGGTTGATTTTTCCGTAGCAAATTTTTGTGCATGTTCAAAAATTGTCAAGGATCGCTACGGATATACAAGGACTACTACGAATGATTACGGTTCCAGTACGGAGAGCTACTGACCAGTACGGGTAGCTACGGACGATGCCGGAATTAATCCGTGGCTCTTACATGGGCGTATTCCGTGAATATGTGACCGGGGTATAACAGAGTCATGGTTCTTTGGCAATGCACTTCTACTCAATGAGATATATCTACCTACAATGTTTCATGTTGATATCTCTTGCAGTTTTAGAGTTATGTTCGGGACAAAGTTCAAAGTGTTCAAATTAACAAAGGGCAATAACTCCAGAATTAGGCAAAAATGAGTTATGGTTCTTGTGCACTGCACATCTACCCATTATGAGATCTATTTACCTACAAAGTTTCATGTTGATATCACTTATAGTTTTAGAGTTATGTCCCGGACAAGATTTTTCTAAAAGGGGAGATAATTAAAAAAAACGGGCAAAATAGAGTTATGGTTCTTTGACACTGCACTCCCCCTCAATGCCCTCTAACACTGTATGATGTTTAAACAAATTATCTCCAAGGGTTTTCAAGTTATGCTCCAGACAAGACAACAGACTGACAAGGTGGCGACTATATGCTCTCCCTACAGGGAGCATAAAAATATAATTCAGCATGGTATGTATAATCCTGCTTTTCAACAAAGTATTGGCAAAATATGTTCAAATATCCAACATCTATAGAGACTGTTCACAGTGACTCCCTGTCTATAATGACCTTTTTTCTTTTCTCCCATCGAAGGTCACTGTAAACAGTTTTTACTGTAAAATAAAATGGAATTTTGAAAGGGGATCTGAGGTTATGAAGCCTGCCTATCACAGACAAGACGTCAAAACCCAACTAGGAGAAATAAGCCAACTTGGAGAATAGCCCACTAAGACAATATTCCACTAGGACATAAGCCAACTAGGAGAAAAGCCCACTAAGACAATATTCCACTAGGACATAAGCCAACTAGGAGAAAAGCCTACTAAGACAATATTCCACTACAACATAAACCAACTAGGAGAAAAGCCTACTAAGACAATATTCCACTAGGACATAAGCTAACTAGGAGAAAAGCCCACTTAGACAATATTCCACTAGGACATAAGCCAACTAGGAGAAAAGCCTACTAAGACAATATTCCACTACAACATAAACCAACTAGGAGAAAAGCCTACTAAGACAATATTCCACTAGGACATAAGCTAACTAGCAGAAAAGCCTACTAAGACAATATTCCACTAGGACATAAGCCAACTAGGAGAAAAGCCCACTAAGACAATATTCCACTAGGACATAAGCCAACTAGGAGAAAAGCCCACTAAGACAATATTCCACTACAACATAAACCAACTAGGAGAAAAGCCTACTAAGACAATATTCCACTACAACATAAGCCAACTAGGAGAAAAGCCCACTAAGACAATATTCCACTAGGACATAAGCCAACTAGGAGAAAAGCCTACTAAGACAATATTCCACTACAACATAAACCAACTAGGAGAAAAGCCTACTAAGACAATATTCCACTAGGACATAAGCTAACTAGGAGAAAAGCCCACTAAGACAATATTCCACTAGGACATAAGCCAACAGGAGAAAAGCCCACTAAGACAATATTCCAGTAGGACATTGGCCAACTAGGAGAATAGCCCACTAAGACAATATTCCACTAGGACATAAGCCAACAGGAGAAAAGCCCACTAAGACAATATTCCAGTAGGACATTGGCCAACTAGGAGAATAGCCCACTAAGACAATATTCCACTAGGACATAAGCCAACTAGGAGAAAAGCCCACTAAGACAATATTCCACTACAACATAAACCAACTAGGAGAAAAGCCTACTAAGACAATATTCCACTAGGACATAAGCCAACTAGGAGAAAAGCCTACTAAGACAATATTCCACTACAACATAAACCAACTAGGAGAAAAGCCTACTAAGACAATATTCCACTAGGACATAAGCCAACTAGGAGAAAAGCCCACTAAGACAATATTCCACTAGGACATAAGCCAACTAGGAGAAAAGCCCACTAAGACAATATTCCACTACAACATAAACCAACTAGGAGAAAACCCTACTAAGACAATATTCCACTAGGACATAAGCCAACTAGGAGAAAAGCCCACTAAGACAATATTCCACTACAACATAAACCAACTAGGAGAAAAGCCCACTAAGACAATATTCCACTAGGACATTGGCCGACTAGAATAAAAGCCCACTACTAAGGATATTATCCAAGCAGGATAATAGCCCACTAAGACAATATTCCACTAGGACATTAGCTAACTAGGACAAAAGCCCACTAAGACAATATTCCACTAGAACATAAACCAACTAGGAGAAAAGCCCACTAAGACAATATTCCACTAGGACATAAGCCAAGTAGGATAACAGCACATTAAGACAATATTCTAATAGGACATAAGCCAACCAGGAGAATAGCACACTAAGACAATATTCCACTAGGACATAAGCCAACTAGGATAATAGCCCACTAAGACAATATTCTACTAGGACATTGGTCAACTAGAATAGCCCACTACTAAGGACATTATCCAAATAAGATAATAGCCCATTAAGACAATATTCCACTAGGACATAAGCTAACTAGGAGAATAGCCCACTAAGACAATATTCCACTAGAACATAAGCTAACTAGGAGAATAGCCCACTAAGACAATATTCCACTAGAACATAAACCAACTAGAAGAATTGCCCACTATTAAGGACATTATCCCAATTGGATAATAGCCCACTAAGACAATATTCCACTAGGACATTGGCCCACAAGGAATATAGCCCACTCTTAAGGACATTATCCCAGTAGGATAATAGCCCACTAAGACAATATTCCACTAGGACATAAGCCAACAAGGAGAATAGCCCACTATGACAACATTCCACTAGGGCATAAGCCAACTAGAAAAGCTTAAGGCCACTACTAAGGACATTATCCCACTAGCAGAATAGCCTTCTAAGACAATATTCCACTAGGACATTGCCCTGTGAGTAATTGTTTACTGGAATATTGTTAATTCTGTAGCTTAATTATAATGTATAATTATTTCAGAGACAGCTGAAATACATTTAAAGAAATGGTATTGATGTGTCTCAAATAACCTACCTACACGCCTACCATCTCGACAATGCAGTAACACAGGACCATTTTGCCCTGCTTCTAGTAAAGTATCTTTAACCTGCAGAAATGTTTCTGATGTAAAATTGGTATCAGGTGCTGTAAACAACAATAAGAAAATGATTTCTAAATTCTTATTAAAAGTAACATAGTTCATGAATATAGCATTGTACAATGTATACATCGATGCTAGTTCAAAATTTCTGAAAACCTGAACATTATTTTTAATAGGTTTTATATAGTAGAAGAATGCCGTCAGGAGAATAATGGCAAATTCAAAATTTTTTTTAACATATTTATAGTTCATTAATGAATTAAATGATTAAGCGAGACTTACCTTTGGAAAAGGGAAGGCGAAGGTTGATCATGATTTCATCGAACACAAAACCCCCTTAGGGCTCACACAGATAAGGAAAGCAGCGGTCAGCGGCCAGGTTAGTCATATTTTAAAGATCACATAAATCTATACAATATTGATAAGAAATCTTATTCAGGGTGGTCGTGGGTGGGCGTGTGAGCCCTAAGGGGGTTTTGTGTCGGATGAAATCATGATCAACCTTCGCCTTCCCTTTTCCAAAGGTAAGTCTCGCTTAATCATTTAATTTCATCCAACACATAAATCCCCTTAAGGGCCCCACAGATTGTTCAGAGTGGATTGCTTATACAATATTGAGAAGGAAAGAACACAATATGATGCAAATTCATGTATTTATAGATCTAATATAAAAGCTAATATATATGTATATATGTTCATCAGAAACATTCCAGCTGTTCTCATTATGAGTTTGACCCAGCGTGCAACAGTTTGCTTAGATATTGAGTCATGCGGTTTGACCGTGGAAATTAGCAATGAATCTGTACCATTTCTAAGTGGCTGGGTTCTGTCAATGTATTCCTTGACTGTTTCTATTATACAGAGTTTTTTATTTTGATAGTATGCTTTTAATATTATTGGATCTAAATGCACTCCTGGTCGTGTCTGTTTCAAAACGCTAGATATATTAATCACAAGTTTGTCCGTATAAATGTTAATATCTGAGATTTTGAGCGCATGTAAAGTCTGGCATCTCTGTGCTGTAGTTAGTAAAAACAACATACACAATTTTCCGGACAATAATAACAATGATGACGTATCTATGTTTTCCAGGTATTTCAAAACAATTTGAACGTCCCAAATTGCGTTATACCGGGGCAGTGCAGGCCGCTCGTTGAATATACCTCTCATAAACCTGCTAATTATCTCATCAGAGTGTATATCCACTTTACCCGTTATCTTCACGAAGGTGCTAATTGCCGACCTTGCGGTATTAATTGCCGTATAACTTAAACCTCGCGAGAATAGCTGAGCGAGAAATTGTACTACTGTTTGTGTATTAGGTTTAAAGGGATTTGTTTGCCGTTCGCAAGAATGAAGCCATTTCGTAATGTACGTATTATATTGTTTTCTTGTGCTGTCCCGCCAAGATTTAATAATGAGTTCTTGAGCGACTTGTGGTATTCCTTGCTTTCGAAGGGCTGCCCTGATATATCGAAAGCAATCAGATTTGTTTTTGTCAACGAATATTTCATTTCTGGTTTGTGTTCCAGTTTTAATATGTTTTTTGGTTGTGGTAGGAGATAGCAGTCAGTCTTCTTACTAAGTTTATCAGAGTTGGCCACCATGCCTGTGTAGGCCAAACTGGTGCTATGATGACTGCCTGTGTTTTGTCTTCCTCTATCTTTTGTAGGATGCGCCCCATCAAACTGAAAGGAGCAAATATGTAAAATAATTGACCTGTCCATGTCATGGAAAACGCGTCCACGGCGTATGCATCTGGGTCCGGATATCTAGAAACATAATAGTTTAGTTTTTTATTTAACCTGGATGCAAATAAATCAATTTTCATATCGGGAAATTTATTGAACAGACTCAAAAAAATATAAGGATCGAGCGACCATTCGATGTCATCATTTCCAGTTCTACTAAGTCTGTCAGCGCGTGTGTTTGCAATTCCAGCTATATGGGAAGCTGACACATGAATGTTTTTATTGATGCACCAAAACCATAGCCGTTGTGCTAATTTGTCAAGCGACTCAATTCTTCCCCCATAATTGTTGATATATGCGCAACTTGTTGTATTATCGGTATATATTCTGACATGTGAATTAGAAATATTCTGACAGAAAGTGTGTAAACCTATTTCACAAGCTCGTAATTCTAATTCATTGATATGTAATTGTTGTTCCTTTGTTGACCAAAAACCATTGGTTTCAATATTTTGAGTTTTATTGTAACATCCGTACATTTTCTGAGAAGCATCAGTATATATAACCATGGAAAGAGTCCCCACTGAAACAGGTTTGAACTATTTTTAGCATTAGTGATCCACCAGTGTAATTGTGTATTTAAAAGTTGTGGTAAAGTCATAAAACTATCAAAATTTCGGTGATGTAATTTTAATTGATACTCTTTTACCTTTTCAAACGGTCTTATATACAACGGAGCATGTTTAACCCCCGGTTCTGCTGCATTAAGTTTTCCAATCAATTTTGTGAACCGGCGAATAGTTATTCTTCTGTTATGCAGTATGTCTGTGCACAGCGAGACAATATCGTTTATTTTTTCCACTGTAAGTCGAACAGTCATACTTACTGAGCACAAGATAAACCCTAAAAATGTAATTTTTGTACAGGGAATAAAAACTGATTTGCTCAAATTAACTGTTAGTCCTAATTGGTCCATTAATGTTATCGTTTCCTGGACATTTTTCAAGCATGAATGGAAATTATCAGCGAATAACCAAGAATCATCAATAAAGTATACACTCGTGTGACCCATTGACCTTAGATAAGCAAACACTGGTTTCATTAATTTAGTCCAGATTCTGGGGCTGCAGGAATAACCCATTACTAATGCAGTAAATTGGTACTTTATACCATTGAATAGAAACCTAAAGTATTTACGATCAGTTTCCCGGATTTTGATAGAATAATAGGCGTCCGAAATGTCAATTGAAGCCATATAACCGTCTTTCCGCATAGCATTAACTGCCAATCTCAATGATTCCATTTTAAAATGAAGTTTGCTAACATACCGTTCATTAAATTGTCGGAGATTCAATATAATACGCACGCGTCCGTCTTTCTTTGGTCTAATAAAAATGTTAGAAATAAATTCGTCACGCGTATTGCTTGGTGCCTGTTCGATAATGCCGCGTTTTAAAAACCGATTTAGTTCATTTCGTATTTTCTCTGTTTCGTCTTTTGAAAATTTTATTGGAGTCGGAATTAAAATTTGTTTAGGTTTTTCTGTTATTTCGGCACTGCAGCCCTTAATAGTGTTTAAAATCCAATCATCTATCCAATCATCTGTCGTAAGTGCCTCCCAAAAAGAAATATTATCAGCTGTTTTACCCGCTTTGAAATTGTGTATCATATTTTGCAATCGAATTGTTAATCCACTTACATTAATTACTTCCGCATAGGTTTGCCCCTCTTTGCAATGTGTTGATTCCTCGGGGGTGACTGGAATTTGTTTGTTCTCGGGGAGAAGACCATGGGTCCCTGATTGCTTCGGTTGTTGTATGTTTGGTAATTCTGTGCATGTGCCCCTCCCCGTTTGTGTAAAAAAGACTTCTTGGTAGATGCTGTTGTTGTTAAATTGGTTTTCGATTCTCGTAAGTTTTTTATGTCCTCTTGTAAACTGTCCCCAAATAATTTCGTCGCAGATGGTTTGTTTGTACACAAGGGTCGATACGCCAGTAACAGATCTTTCTTAATTTTTTCCATCCGTGCATCGTTTGAATGGACTACGGTTTGCGCCAGCATCTTGAAAGTGTCCCCTGTTAGCTCCCGTAATTCTGATGATACAGATTCCGTCTTCATTTTTTGCATAAGTTTAAGTACGGGAACTACAGCCTGGCATATCGAACCCTGCATTCTTTGCATAGCATAATCGAACGCCTTCGTGTTGCGTTTTAATTGTCGCCATAAGTGTTCTTCAACTTTCGGAACTTGAAGATTTTCCACATTGCAAGGACGTTTGTGTTTTAATGCCAATGATTTGGCTTTATCCTCCTTTGGTTTGGCTCTTAAGACTTTGTAAGCCAAAGATGCCAAATCTTTTGAAAGTTCTTCTCCTGTCTCTTTATTTCCTTCAAAAAAATCATCTATATCAAACCATTCCGTTGTGTCCCCTTCCGGGGCCTCTGCATTATTCTCTTCTAAGTAATTATTTATCAATTCATCATCATCTGACGTGCAAGCACTCTGCAAGTCTCTTTCAGGAGAAATCCGGGATTGCTTTGCAGTACTACCTCCAGATTGGTTAGAGTTGCCACTGCGCAATAAATCAAGGTCCTGTTTCATTGTTGTCATGGTTTCAGTGATCGTTTGCAGTGATGCTGCAAGCTGTTTTGCACCTGGCTCCGATGTAATGGTACTGTTTCCCATTTCCGACAAACGTTCAAAAATGTTTGTGTGGTCCCTATCTACGTCATTTCCGCCCTGGCATGGTGCCAATATAGACTGGAAAGAAAGTTGGACTGTATGAGAAATCTCAGATATTTATATAATGATATAATTCCTGTACGTAACCAATAAACTTATAATTTCAAATTTTCCATTTAGCTTTTTTGCTAAAACAACCAGTGGACGTATATCCATCCATAAACTGGCAATGCATTATATTTCTTCGACTTTATATAATGAATTAAACTTGCGAAACGTGGTATCCATTTCAGCAAGGATTGTGATATTCTCTTCATACATTGTCGAAGCATTATAGTTATTACACTTAATATAATAATTTAAACTTGCGAAACGTGGTATCCATTTCAGCAAGAATTGTGATATAATATTCTCTTCATACATTGTCGAAGCATTATAGTTATTACACTTAATATAATAACTTTAACTTGCGAAACCTGGTATCCATTTCAGCAAGAAATTCAATTTTTGTAAAATTTCATAGCATATATTTGAGAAATGTGATATCCATTTCATCAAAAATAAATTTGTACAACATACAATTCTTGTCATTCAATTAAAGGTTAATATTTTTTTTTTTTTTTTTTTTTAAATCTTACCTGATCTTCTTCTTCCATAATTCCAAAACCTCGAATTACACAAATATCTAAAATGACCACTAAACCCGAAATCCTAAGATTATTAATTAGTTTTGATTACTAGTTTAACTGATTTTCTTTTCTCTGAGTTTGTATATACGTTTAACCTTAACCGTTGAAGCCTCGTAATGACTAACCTGGCCGCTGACCGCTGCGTTCCTAATCTGTGGGGCCCTTAAGGGGGTTTATGTGTTGGATGAAATATAATAACATACCCCTCTGTTATAAGAATATAATCAAACCCCAAATGCAAATTTGTTAATGTAATCAAAAATAATCTTTAAAATACAGGAGAGACCCATTCATTAAACATTCACAAAACATGCTTTATATTAATTATCCTTCTGATGCATTTATAACTGTAAGCTTTAATTGTCTGTATATACTTATGACAATATATAAAAAATAGGTTTTGGGGAATGTAGAATATAAAGTACGATATATTTTTATAAAGTACGATATATTTTTATGGGAAATGTAGAATTTAAAGTACAATTTATTTTTATGGGAAATGTTGAATTTAAAGTACAATATATTTTTATATGTTTATTTTAAGCCATAACCTGCTGGAACAAAAAGTGATTACAAGTTCCCCTTTCCCATCATTATAGAGCCAGAATTATAGCCTAGTTATCTGTACAGTCTGACCAGGCCTTATACTATAGGCTAACATAAATCTTCAAATTCCCAAATTAATATTAGACAGCTCTATAAACATAAGCTGGAAAAGTTTATAAAAGAATTTAAGCAGTTTAAGGGTAAAAAGTATTATATGGTTGCAAATATACTGTGTTTTTCCATTAACTTAAGTAAAGACAACATATACTGGTATCCTCTTAGAAAATAAATATACTTACAAATTGGAATGTGATAGTATTTCAGTGAAGATTTTCCAACAAAATCTTTTTCTAACTGTTCATTATAGCCAATATCATCACCAAATTCTGATGGATTCTCAATTTCATAGTTCATTTTTGATTTTTCACCGATATAATCTGAGCTATGATGTCTGTTGATTTTATCTTTATTTAGTGTACTCAGGTCCTGCCGTGGTGGTGTAGAATCATTTCCGTAGGTAGAGCTACCATCTTTGATATTCAACAGAGCAACAGGCTCTTGTGATACCTTACCATTGTGAGTCACCCCTAGTCTCATATTGACAATAGCTTTAAATCCAGTTGCCTCTAATGATTTTACATCACATTTTCGAATTTGCCCAGCAACATACCAGTTTTTAGAAACAGGATGTGCTAACCAAAAATCTAACCATTCCTCTGGTTGACAATTGTGCTTTGGGGGATTTTTAACAACTTCTTCACCAGTTATGTTTGCAACTACCTCCTTAAGATCATCATGTGTGAAGTCTAATCCCATCGCTGCTGTAATCTTATAAAACTCTTCACTACGAATCTTTGGCTCGAAACTGGCATTGTAGCGTGTCTCATTAGCCATGTACATCAGGGTCACAAATGTAATGGTATATCCTCTATCACAATGTAACAAGATTGGTCTTCGTAACTTAGGGAGGACATCTGAAAATTTTCGAACAGTATCCACACTGCCCCAGTCATCATTAGCACCAATCAAAGCAACATACTGTAAGCTAGCTTTATGGGCAGCAGCCCAGGCTTCGGCAGTTGTTGGTAAATACTCTCCACCAAAACTACCAAAGTCATCAGTCTCATACACAAACAAGGAAAGAATACTTCTAAAGCCTGCCTCTGATGCATATTTGATTTGCCTTTCAGTCAGCCTTCCAGCAACATGAAAATCTGGTGTAATTTCTTTCGCCCACCAAACTTTACTTGGGGAATTCAAACCAGGTGGACTTCTTTTAACTGCAGTATCAACATTCACAGCAAAGACAGATGATATAGTTAGGCAACTTGACAAAGCTATTAAAACAAGAATGGTTCTAAATTGACTGCTGAAATTTACTGTTCGACATTTAGGTAGATCTCCATCATATGGATGATAAGAAACAAATACCTCCATTCCAAAAACTGATCATAAGACTCCTCTTCGGCACAATCCTACAAACAATAAAATAGCCAAAGTCAAAATACTTCATATTTCATATTAAACAATTAAACTATGTGAATACTGATGGCTGAAAATAACAAAGGCCAGTAACTGAAAAATAATGCAGGGTAGTTTATCATTCTTGTGTGCTGCACTCCTTCTCAATGAGATCTATCCACCTATGAAGTTTCAAGTTGATACCTCTACCGGACAAAAAGTATGAAAAATAAAATAACAAAGGGCAATAACTCAAAAATTATAAAGGGTAGAGTTATCATTCTTGCGCACAGCATTCCTCCTCAATAATATAAATCCACCTATGAAGTTTCATGTTGACATCTCAAAGACTTTTTGAGATATGAAAAATTAAGTATGAAAAACAAGAACGTGTTTGTTAAACACAAATGCCCACCGGCTCCGATTCTTGTCAGTAGCATATTTCAAAAAATGTTTACCCATTCACTCAGTTATGGACAGAAACATTGCCAAAAAATTGTAAACACAAGTTATATAGCTTGACAGAGTCATGGCATTTTGTAATTGTGAAATATATAAGTTGCCAAGTCATTGCTATGACTTGTGAAGTGATAAATATTCAACTTTATCAAATATATATGATTGTAAGAAATCTATACTTGGCACCCTTGACCTTGACCCACTGATATCATGCAAGTTATCTTCCTACCAAATATGAAATACACCTGTCAATGAATAAAGGCTGTATGGGCAAAAATGTTAAAATCTATATTGAGCATTGATGACCTTGACAAAACTGACTCCTAACTCCATCCAAAGGAAGAATACCATGCAAGCTATCTTCCAAATATGAAATAAATCTTTCAATAAATAAAGGCTGTATGGGCAAAAGTGTAAAAATCTATTTTTAGCACTTGTGACCTTGACCCAACTAACCCCTAACTCCATCCAAAGTAAGAATTACATGCAAGTTATCTTCCTACTAAATATGAAATATATCTGTCAAAAAATAAAGGCTGAATGGGCAAAAGTGTAAAAATCTATTTTTAGCACTAGTGCCAGTGATCCCTACCCCATTCAAAAGGATGAATACCATGCAAGTTATCTTCCTACAAAATATGAAATATATCTCTGTCAAAAAATATAGGCTGTATGAGCAAAAGTGTAAAAATCTATTTTTAGCACTGGTGACCTTGACCCAACTGACCACTAACTCCATCAAATTTTATGTTCCTATCAATTATAAATGACATCTGTCTATAGAATATGGTTAATACACCTGTAAAAATGAAAAAATCTATTTTTAACATTGGTG